TTATCTATAATATAGCTCCCAAGAACGGATTTTGCTGATCCACAAGGCCCATCAGTAAGTACAGATCTCAATGAGGCACTTCTATTTTTTTATTATTTGTTCAGTTTTTCTATTTTTTATTTGCACTTATCTTTTTGTTCATTTTTTGACTGATAGTTTTAATATTTATCTGTGATACAGCTCCCAGGATTGGATTTTGCTGATCCACAGGGTCCATCTGTAAGTACAGATCTCAACAAGACACTTCCTTGCAAAAGCTGTTCTATATTTCAAAGAAGAAGAGTGGGGCCGGGTGCGGTGGCTCAAGCCTGTAATCCCAGCACTTTGGGAGGCCGAGGCGGGTGGATCACGAGGTCAAGAGATCGAGACCATCCTGGTCAACATGGTGAAACCCCGTCTCTACTAAAAATACAAAAAATTAGCTGGGCATGGTGGTGCGTGCCTGTAGTCCCAGCTGCTCAGGAGGCTGAGGCAGGAGAATTGCCTGAACTCAGGAGGCGGAGGTTGCGGTGAGCTGAGATCGCGCCATTGCACTCCAGCCTGGGTAACAAGAGAGAAACTCCGTCTCAAAAAAAAAAAAAAAAAAAAAAAAAAAAGAAGAAGAAGAGTGAATTTTTTCATTGTCCCATTTATTCACAAATATGAAATATAATGGGTTCCTTTGCTTTTTTAAATATTAAATACTTATTTCCTATACTAATCCATCTGAAAATGTGTTTCATATAGCTCAGAAATTACCATAATGGGGATTTTGCCTATGTGATTTATTTATTTTGTTTTCCATCATTTAAAGATTTTCCAAATAGCCCGTTTGATTTCTCGGGGACCAATGCCACAAAATAAACAATCTCCGGTAAGTTTTTTTTTTATACCACATCTCTGTTTGCAACTTACTTAAAAGTTTTTCCATTGGAAAATGCACTTTGTGATAATAATTGTATTTTATTTAGCTTCATCCAGGAATGTTTTACGTGCCTTTTGGAGCAAATCAATTGGTAAGTCCGTATTCTATAGAAAGTATTGTTTTTAATTAAATGTTATCTTAAGAGCTAAAATTATAAAATCTAGGTGTCACACAAGAGATTCCAAATAAACATTCTCTGAATGCCTACATTAGTCAGGTGGCACATTTCCTATTTGGATAATCCTGGCCAGATACACACACACACACACACACACACACACACACACACGCACGGGTATTAAAGAAAAAATAAATTTTAGATCTGAATTATCCAAGCTGGCTACATTTATTCCATAATGACTCACCTCTCCACTTTGCTCTGCCTCTGGACATAGTATTAATATTAACGTTTAAGTGAAAACTAAATAATTTTAACTTTGTCTTGAGTAGATAAGAAGGTAGCTGATTCGTAATTTGATGCAATATTTCTTTTTGAACAGAATGCCCCTGCCAGACTTGGCATCATGAGTTCAGAAGAAATGGCAGTGAGTAATATCTTCTAACTCTTCTTAAAATAGTAGCCAGGGAAGAACAGTCACTTATGGCTGACTGCGAGATGTCTGCCATGAATGTAGCCAAATGAGCATGTGACTCAGATTTTTCCACTCCAAAAACAAAGCTTAATTCTGAAGCAATATCCAAAAGATTTCATCATAGTTCTTATATAATCTTTCATTTCTGGGTGATGACTATTCTTGAGCATAGAGTTTTGCCCTATTGCTTGTGGATGAGCAGAGGACAAACCACCCCTTGAATGGCTGTCATTGAACAATAAACACTTCAAACCAAAAGGATACGTGTGGTTCATACAGAACTCTTATTCTTTCTGAGACCATTTAACCCCTCAAAAGATCAAATTCACAGCATTACAAGTAATTCAGACCTCAAAATTGAAAGACCAAAAAGCAAAAGAAAATCAACCAAGTTTAAAATGTGATTATTATAAATGGCAATGTGCATTGTCAATGAGAGTATACTCCTATTATGTTATTATTCATGCAAGTTTCAGATTTGAGATCTAATAAAGCATACAGCTTGACTTTTTTCCTAAGAGATTTTTTTATCTGTTGCATCTGTTAGAGCACAAGGCAAGACAAAACAAAGCGATACTAATTAACAAATCATTGTCAACTGCAGATCCTATGGAGTTAATAAACACACACATATTATCTGTGAAAAAAAAACTTACATCTCAGTATTTTTGAGTGCCTTCTGTGTGCCACCCACATAGGAAAATGATATAAACAAGACAAGATTCTTGGTTTTGTCTGGGCACAGTGGCTCACGCCTATAATCCCAACACTTTGGGAGGTTGAGATGGGTGGATCACCTGAGGTCAGGAGTTTGAGGCCAGCCTGGCCAACATGGTAAAACCCCGTCTCTACTAAAAATACAAAAATCAGCCTGGTGTAGTGATGCGAGCCTGTAGTCCCAGCTACTCGGAAGGCTGAGGCAGGAGAACCGCTCGAACCTGGGAGGCGGAGGTTGCAATGAGCCAAGATTGTACCCACTCCAGCCTGGGCAACAGAGTGAGACCCTGTCTCAAAAAAAAAAAAAAAAAAAAATTCTTGTTTTCAAGGAGTTTATAATCTAATGAATGGAAAGGATAGGTACAAAGACAGATATCTAATGTCAAAATCATGGGATAAAAGTAATAACAGCTTTATTAGTGAGAGTCAGAGAGAGGAAGGGCAGCTAGCCCAGCCCAGGGATTCACAGCATCATCCCTGGAGGAGATTATGTGAAAGCTGAGACTTAGAGAATGAAGAGTCAGGAGAAAGTAGAAGGAAAGAATATTATATCTACATAACACCAATATAAGTGGCTGGAAATTCAAAATTCAAGTCGGTATTAATTGCCATCATATAATATCAATTATTTCTATTCTGCCTCATTCCCAAAAGATTTTTCAGAGTTTATGAAAAACACACAATAAATATAACCAAAAATTGAAGGTAGGATTTAAAATGAGTTATAATTTCAAGGAAATCAGAATATAATATGCAAGTCACACAATCCTGCTCAATTGCTACAAACAGCCTAAGATTTTGGACCTCATATTTCTGGCAGCAAAGGTAAAGAAAGAAACATGGTCAGTTCTGGAATTCTATCTGTCCACAGAAAGAAAATATTTTAGTTACTCCAGGGAAGTCAAACTTTTTTCTTAAACTTTGTGCTTTAAGAAAATAAAAGTCTTAGCTGCACACAGAGTCTCACCCCTGTAATCCCAGCTGCTAGGGAGGCTGAGGCAGGAAGATCATCTGAGTCTAGGAGTTCTAGATCAGCTACATAATGATATCCCTAAAAGAAAAAAAAACTTACATGGAACTTTATCTGGGGGACACTGAAAAATGCCATTAACAGTATTCTCCCTTAACAAATGCAGTTATGACTTTCAGTTCTTAATTGTTTTATGATGGTAGTACCCATTGTAATTGCTTGTTTTCTTAAAATTAAATTCAAACTCACTTTGCCTCAAGTCTTGCTTCTGCTCTGCTATCTCTCTTTTGTGGAAGTGGCCTTCCCCTACCCAGATAAGTGCAGAATCCTCTTCATTATGTTTCAAAGCCAGTTTAGTGAGAAATTAGCACACACAAAGCTATCAGCCAACTTCCTGTTCTCTACCAGTTTTTTAGAGATCCTTGGTGAATGTGACCAGGTATAGTTGCATGGTATAGTTAATAGCATGTGATAATGGTATCTTTGATGAATGTCTTTTTTCCAGGGAGGGAGAGGAGGCCCAATGGGCTATGGAGCCATGTTTCCAGGATTTGAAGGCATGAGGCCCAGCTTTGACGGAATGCCTCACAACCCAGCTATGGGCGGTGACTTCACTCTGGAATTTGACTCACCAGTGGCTGCAACCAAAGGCCCTGAGGGAGAAGGAGGTGCACAAGGCTCCCCTATGCCAGAGGCCAACCCAGACAATCCAGAAAACCCAGCTGTCTTTCCAGACCTAGAACCTGCTGCCCACGCAGGGCTCCTTGCTGTCCCTAAGGATGATGTTTCCACCCTGCCAAGAAGCCCTTCAGGGAAGAGGAAGGGTGCCCTCAGCATCACCCCAGCAGCTGCTGACCCACTGATGACACCTGAATTAGCTGATATTTATGGGACCTATGGTGCTGACATGACCACATCCATGGATTTCCAGGAAGAAGCAACCATGGATACCACAATGGCCCCAAATTCTCTGCAAACATCCATGCCAGGAAACAAAGCCCAGGAGCCCGAGATGATGCATGATACTTGGCATTTCCCAGAGCCCTGACAGCTCTAAGAGATTAGCTACTTTCTGTATGCACAAGCTTCCCAGCTTTGTCCCCACAGTGTACCTTTTTGCTAAAACACTTATTACCCTTCTGCAGCAAAGGCATTAAAAGTGCTAAGCACATACTAATAAACGCAAGTGGCTAGAAATAGTGTAGGTCCCCTTCTTGCTTTCAATATCTTGTTGAAATAAAACGTGTCAATTGTCTCTGTGATTTAGAAATACTATTAATAATATCAAAGCAATGGTCTAAGGGTCTCAGCATTTGATTCACTGTTTCTTTGCTGTCTTAAGCATTATAGAATTTCTCTTACTAGCATGACACTATTATATCCAGAAGATGTGGCACTGCTTTGCCTAAGCAAAGGCACATATTCTCATAATTCTAGGCTAATTCGTTTAAACTTTATTAAATGAGGATTGGTAGAGAACTCCTGACTGGTATTACTGAGTTTGGTATATTGAATTTACAGTTCTCATTTATAGAGTATTTTATTTGATCTAGTAAAAATATATAGGCTATTTTAAATAAAGAATTTTTCTCACTGAAATTATCAGGAATTGTATGCTTATTATTTATATATATATTTAAATGGTTCAAGAAAAGCATACTCATCCTCTACCTTTGCTACTCTTTAACTCATTGTATTCAATTCATTCATTCGTCATCAGAACTTTACTGAATATTCATGTCCTGGTTTCAGTGAAAGGTATCAGAGATACAGTCCCTTCCTTCAAAGCTTACTATGGACACGACTGACAAGTAGACAGTCACCATAACAAAACCGCAGGCCAAGCTTAATTACTTTACATATATTATCCCACAACAATACTGCAAAACAGATACATTCAACCCCACAGCACATGTGAAAAGTGCTATGAAAAGGCCAAGCGCAGGGTGTTCCTGGAGCCACAGAGAAGAGGTGCCTAACCCAGACGGAGGGGCATTGGAAGGTCTAGGAGAAATCAGACAAGTTTTCTCAGAACAGTGTCTAGAAATGGCTTCAGGAGTGAAAGGCCTCACTCTCCAAGAGGAAGAAACAGAAAAAGAGCCATGAGGGTTCCATGTGAGAATTAGCTCATTCCTGTGAAATATAATGTGGGAAAGGGGGATGCAGAAAATGACCCTTGCTTGTCACCAGGGCTAGGTGTATATGGAGCAGAACCATATGCCTGAATTAAAGGGCTCGCCTTTGTAGGATCTGGTCACTCCTACAAAGTAGCCTCCTACCTCACCGTCTTCACTTTCTCCTAAGTGGCCCGTTCCAGGTCTTCGACTCCATAAAACTCAGACTCCTCTCCATCCCTTGATGGAGATTCTGTAGATGCAACCCAGGAAAAAGAGCTCTGAGATGCTTCCCAGCCCAGGGTACTTTAGGAGCCTTCCCAGGAGCATGTAGCCGCCACCTATCGCCTCCCTCTCTTCAAGCAGGGTTCTGCTCATCCTTATTCCATAGACTTCAGCTGAACGAGAGATACAGAAAACAGTTCACCTCCTCTAGTGTCCCGGCAAAGGTGCGAGGGTAGGAGAATGACTCCACAGTAGCCAGCAGATACCCACTGAGATCTATCGTAGCATCCCAGACAGTTTCCTAAAAAGCAGATATAAACAGATCTGGGTTCAAACTTCGGTATCACATCTTATTATCCATGAGACTTTAGAATAGATGTGAAACTTAATCTCTCTGTGCCTGTGTTTTCATTTTCTATAATGGGGCTGTGACCTAGTATAGAGAGTTGTCATGAGAATGAAATGAGACAAAGTATACAGATGAAATTGTTGAATCATAACAGTTTCCTTCTTTTCCAACTGATCCTTTTGGTAAAGAGAACTCAGCAAAACAGCAGCAGCAACAGTGGAAGAATGAAATTGTTCCCATTATCTGATGAATTCGTGTTTCTCCATTAACCTCCAACCATTGCTCTGCTGGTCCTTCTTTGTAATTCAGAGCATGCCTTTATGAGACACGCACACTGGTTTCCCAGGTGAATCTTGCTGTAGCAGGGACTCAAAGTTTGTCTCTCTTATTGACCATCTGGACACTTGACGAGGGTAATAGCCAGATCAACTTTGTAGTGGGGACAACATGTTGTTGAGTCCTTGAATAACACCTATCCCTGCCACCATTGTCACTTCAAATACTGGACCATTGGGCAAACACCAAGGTAGCCAGGGAAAGAGGCTGTCATTCTCAGAAGAAGCAATATGGATTATGGATTATTGACAATTTTCGCTACTTTGATTTTCTTCTACCAGGCATTTACATGAGAAAAAAAATCTTCATACTATGTCCCATCCTGTGATGACTATCCAGACAACCTGTCTTTTAGACTCTCCTTCTCACCAATCATTCAATTTTATTCTTTCCAAGTCCCTGACCAGGTGACCCCTCTGGGACTAACCCTGAGTCAGTGTAGATCTGTATCACAGGCCATCATCTCCTTCCACACAAAATAGACAACCAGAAATTCCATTTAAAGGTCTGCTCATTGAGTGGGGTTGTAGTACCTGGATTGTCCACTTTCTACTGATGCCAGAATACCATACAGAAATCCATGAGCCAGGTACAAACTCATCAGGAGGAAGTACATGCAAGTCTAAACCACTTACTGGTGCAATCTAATGGAGCCCTCCATACCTGCTGGAGCCTGATACATATATTTCCATTTAAAATAAATGCTGCTGCTTATGTTCCATTTTATGGTTCAGTTGATTGTATGTTACACAGTTCAAGATGTGCGACTCAAATAACATAATCACTTGGCATCCCACCGTCAGGCATATTGTCTCTATTAAAATCTTGAAGCAAGGCAAGAACTATTTTTCACAAAGAAACCTCTAAGATTCTGTGTTGTTACTTCCAACACATTTGAGTCTTCCAGGTCATAATGCCCAAGTGACAAGGATGGACCCCTTTCATTATACGATATGCAGTATAGATTACCTTCAAAACACAAAGAAGTCCAATAAGAATTGTACTTCTTTCTTCTTGTAGGATGGTGCAAGATGCAATAACTTGCAAATAACTTTAGCTATCCCAATATCCTTCAGGCTACTAGACCCCTAGAAATGCCATTGGCACCATGAATGTCTCAGTGTTTATCTTCTACCCTCTGGCTTATCACTTCATGTTAATCAAATCCTATTGTATTGTGTCTTCAATGTACTGGATGGGCATGGGGTTCTATGCAATATAAAGATGATCCAGGACCCTCGGGACTGTTAGGATAGATTGCAGGAGAGTTGACATAGTCCTAGGGCGAGAGAGTATAAATTTACATTGTTCCTGTTTTTTAAAAGTAAACTACTTCTGGTATTTCTTACCGATTAAAATGGAAAGAAACATCTACCAGATCAATAGCTATGTACTAGGTGCCATGGCTCTGCTAATTTGCTCCAATAAAGTTATCACATCTGAAAATACACTTTCAACTGGCATCACCACCTGGTTAAGTCTGCAATAATCCACTTTTATTCCCCATGACCCACTTAGCTTTTCTACCAGCCAGACAGGTGAGTTAAATGAGGAGGTAGTAGGACACCTTTCCTATATCTTTCAAGTTTTCTGTGGTAATGCTAATCTTTGCAATTCTCCCTAAAAGACTTGCTATCTGTTGGGAGTGAAGAAGAAGGTGGACAGTTTCAAGGGCTTCCCTATTCTTGGCTCTTCCTACTATAGCTTTCATTCCACTGGTGTAAGAATCATTGTGGGATTCTGCCAGTTATTAGATATATCTATTCCCTGGCTGGATGCAGTGGCTCACGCCTATAATCCCAGCACTTTGAGAGGCTAAGACAGGCAGATTACTTGAGCCCAGGAGTTGAGAGCAGCCTGGGCAACATGATGAAACCCCTTCTCTACAAAAAAAAAATTACAAAAATTAGCTAAGCATGGTGGTGCATGCCTCTGGTCTCAGCTACTTGGGAGGCTGAGGCAGGAGGAGAGTTTGAGCCCAGGATGTGGAGACTACAGTGAGCTATGATCAGCCACTGTACTACAGTTTTGGTGACAAAGTGAGATCCTGTCTCAAAAAAAAAAAAAAAAAAAAAAAAAGGGCCAGGCGTGGAGGCTCATATCTATAATCCCAGTACTTTGGGCAACCAAGGCAGGTGAATCACTTGAGGTGAAGAGTTTGAGACCAGTGTGGCCAACATGGTGAAACCCCATCTCTACTAAAAACACAAAAATTAGCTGGGCATGGTGGCTTGCACCTGTAATCCCAGCTACTTGGGAGGCTGAGGCAGGATAATTGCTTGAACCCGGGAGGTGGAGGTTGAAGTGAGCCGAGGTTGTGCCACTGCATTCCAGCCTGGGTGACAGAGTGAGACTCCATCTCAAAAACAAAAACAAAACAAAACAAAACAAAACAAAACAAATCTGTCTCTACTCTTACTTCTATAAGCTTTAACCAGTAAACTATGAAAGCTTCTAAGGTTCAGAACCACTTCCTAATAACCTCCTAGAAAGTCTGGGTATTTCTTTTCCCCCACCCAACTTACACATTCTCCCTGCTTAATTGCTTCAGGTCCCTCTGGAGAAGGCTTAGGGAAACTGTAATGGCATACAATTTGGCCACATTTCAGGGTCCTTCCTCATAGGAACCTGATGTCCCCTCAGTTGAGGGGCTCTGGGTCTGGAAACTATATAAGAAACTATAAATCCCACCACAGCCATTTGAGTTAGGCTTAGTGGACATAGAATATTTTTGTCTTTTTATGTCAAGCAGCACCTTAATAGGATGTCCCTCTATTTTTTTCCTATAGACCTGTGATCAAGTAGCCATCAAACAGAACCCTATTCGTCAAAACATTTTGCTTAGCATTCCATCCTGTGGCTTATTGATCATTGCATCCTCCTTGTCTCTGAAAGATAAGCACCATCCCCTGGCCTCTGTCTACTATTTCAGACTCCTATTTTGCCCATTGACATTCCAAAGTAGCAACCCTCATTATCATATCTAGCCCACGGAGAAAAACCACAGCCTTCATTTCTTAATGCTTTAGTGAAGAAAGTGTTGTCTGGGCTCTTCACAGAAGAAAAGGGTGAGGAGTGAATCTAGAGGGGTAAACGCAATACAGTCAGCTCTCTGTATCCGGAAGTTTTCATCTGTGGATTCAACCAACTGCAAATGAAAAATGTCATTAGAC